TATATATATGCTGTTAATTACCAGAGGATAGAATTTTCAACATTGTCTGTAAAAAATGCTGACCATGCAATGGAATGTGTAAAATTGTATTTTTGAGGTAGGGCTACTTTTTTAAGTAGAGCAATTCTAGTAATTACTGTGGGACAAGTTTGTCAACAGTACTTCATGAATAGTCTGTTTTTGTTATTCAGTAGTTGTTGTGTTTTCCCGTAACCGGTTATGCAATAGATTTTGTGGTGGTTCTGTTTCAAATTTTATAATAATACATAATAGAGTGCTTAAAAAATATGACAAATGCAATTCAAAAGGTCTATGACATCAATAGGTATCATCAACAGTTTATTGAGATGTATCCCAAAACTGGTGTACATTGTGTTTTACGTATTTTTTTTTCCATTTTTTTTTTTTGACAACTGCAATTTCCCTTTGAAATGACATACCATGTGCAACGTTATTTATGCAATCCAGGTATTTCTCATCTTTTTCGTTGTACATGTACTGTCCTCTTGCTCTCACAATTTTGATAGGGTCATGACTGAAGAACACTTTGCAGGACGGACTACATATGGAGGGAAATGCAAATAATTAATTTTTTTAATGCCATAAATCTAAATGAAAAACAAAGAATAAAGAAACAGAAAACTTGTGTTCAGATGCTTTTTTCATCATGACAGGCACCAGCGCAAACTTTCTCCAGCCAACATTCAATTAAGTAACCAAGTTCCATTAGCTGCAATACACAGGCTACTCATCTCAAATATCCTGTTATTAATTCAGTGAATATGGTGTTCTGATGTTTTTAACATCAAAATCGCCACTTTACAGTAGACATTAGTTCGTACGTAATAACTGCAGTAATGTCTCCTTACCCAACATGTTTCTTTCGGAGATCGATAGTTTTCTGCTTATCTAAATTTTCCGTTGCCATTTCTGTGCCTGTAGGTGCTCACAGACGCGTGTTGACTGTTACTGGAGATAGAAAGAAGAGATGTGTGCGCAAGAGAGAGAGAGCTATCCGCTCAAGTAATGTATATGTGCACACGTGTGTGTGTGTATGTGCTTGAGAGAGAGAGAGAGAGAGA